GTTCTGTGACGGTTGTGACGAGCGGCGATAAGGAACTTTATCTCCCTGTGTCACGGCGCGTGCCATGCCGCGTCTTGCGAGACCGGCGTGACGGTGGCGTGACGGGAGTGGTGTGATGTTTTGCGCCGCTCGGTGACGGACATTGGTGACGAGTGACGTGTTTGACAGTTGACACTGTGTAAGATGAGACTACGAGACCAACCCGCCGTCAAGGGGAGTATAATAACAGACGCCACGGGACCCCTGTAAATCCGTGTTTTTCGTCGTATTCTTGGTCTACCCGGCGTGAGAGCATGATAGATATGTGTGGCATTATTCGTTACGGATGTGACATGATGAACTTGAATGAATTAATCATGTCAGGTGCGTCACGAATAACATCATGGCGTATGACGCTCGGGTGTCTGAGTGAAAGTCTTTTGTAACGCTGTGATACGTTAGTGCCGAATTGCTCTAACCAAACCAGCATCTGTATCCTGGTGGGGGTGTCGTGTTCCGTCTGTTACCCAATACGCTATGTCGAGGAGCAGCGTCCGTGACCACCGTATACCGACCGAGTGGGTGTCGTCTGGGTGTGTGGCCCGGACTGTGGAGCGTAGGTCGGTCACGCGTGGCACTTTGTCTCACCCCACCGCACGGGTCCGGAACCCCACAGGGAGTTCCGGCCAGTCAGCACGTGTCATATCCCGCTTCCTGTCTGATCACGGGGAGGAGGAGGTAGCAGGAACAATTAAATAGCTTCCCATTATCAACAGGCTTAGCATATGCATGAGAACTATCTTCGCTAATGGTGCTGAAAGCCGTATGCTGTGTCAGCAATGGATGGCTAGAATTTACAAAGTAAGTTTTTGCAACTCTTTATTGAACCTTCAAAGGATGACAGTTTCAAAGGGACTCTCCGAATGGTGTTGCACCATCCCATCGCTGGTGACACCAAGTGACGAGAGTTTCACTCAACAACAAAGTCGTCCCCATTTTCTTTGTATTTCATGGATTCCCAGCAGGGATGCGGAGCCGGAGCCGGAGTCGGAGCCGGAGCCGCCGGAGCCGGCATATTTTGCCCGGAGCCGGAGCCGGAGCCGGAGCCGTGAAACAATATAGCCCGGAGCCGGAGCCGGAGCCGGAGCCGCCAAAAAAGGGGGCGACTCCGGCTCCTTTTTATTTTTTGAAGAGGAAAAAAAATAATTGACCTAGTTCGGTTTGACAGTGCAAGGCAGTAAAACATATGGTACTTACGTCATGGGCCATCAAGTGAATGAAAAAATCCGAATATCCCCAGTATCCCACAGTACGCAAACAACTTCCTGTTTGCTCTTCCCCCCCCCCCCACGTCTACTGCATCCCCAGAACATGAGGACCAGTCATCAGGTGACGGCCATTGTTTTCAAACCAGTGCAGTGGACTGCGACTCCCAGCACCGTCTCATCCCACACACCCCCCACCCCTCCCCCCCCCCCAATGCAGCCGAGACGGGTGTCAGCTTACGATGGTTCACTGAACTCCGATTCGCGGCGACTGCGTTTCCAATGCCATCGCTTCCTAGCCCTTTGTTCTGCCAGTTCTCTCCGAGGTGCGTTTGCGCGGGGACGCGGTGAGCCGGTCATGGCAAAGAGCCAATCTCTTTATAACCGTATAACCGTATATAAAGCGTATAACCAACCGTATAACCGTATATAAAGCGACTATTAAAGCGTATAACCAATCCAATTTTTCTTCCACCCGTATTTAATTGATTGCGTAGGGGATTTACTGAGTCGGAGCCGGAGCCGCCGGAGCCGGAGCCGCCGGAGCCGGACCATTTTACTCGGAGCCGGAGCCGGAGCCGGAGCCGCCATAACATTTCACCCGGAGCCGGAGCCGGAGCCGGAGCCGATTTTTTTCTCCGGAGCCGGAGCCGGAGCCGGAGCCGTCTGAAATTTCCACGGCTCCGCATCCCTGATTCCCAGATAAGATAGCTGAGACACCGTAGGCTTCACCGGTCGCTCGGTCATACTCATCGGTCTCCTATCTGCCATGGTGTTTCGAAATCTTTGTTTGCGTCCGTGCTCAGTGTGGTTGCGGGTCAGCGACTGTGGGTAGGGGGTTGGTGGCCGGCCCCTCTCGCTCCTATCGTCTGGCAGTCTACTGCTGACGTCACGGCGTCGAGAAGCTGTGAACAGTGCGTCACGGATACGTACCTGACGTCACGGGACGGCTAATGTGACGGGTTAGTCGAGCACGAGGCGTCACGGCCCCACCGAACACGCCCATCCCATCCGTCCTTCTTTTCATCGGGTTCCGTCTGTCTCTCTGTTCGTCAGTCTATCAGCGGGCCTTTGTATCTTTGCACGCGTGTGAGCGACACGCGCGACACAGTTATGATTGTGTGCGGTCTGTGGATTGCGTGCGCCGTGCGACGTTAGAGCCTCTGTTGTGGGTCGCCATCTCGAGCGTTCCCTGTCGTCTTTGTGGTCGGGGACGCGTCGCGTTGCCCGCGCGCCCTCACGCTCGGTGGCAGCCATGACCGGACCGATACGCTATCTTATCAGGGCGACGGGCGGTGGAGAGGCGGGCGGGGGGGGGGAAGGGCTCCTGGCTCCGGGTTTAGCCGCCGCCAGCACCGCGCGCCCACACACATTGGGACGGTGATTTCATGAAGAAGCATAAAGACATACTCAGCACCCGGTTCATCCCCACTAAATGCGGAATAAGTACTGAACTGCCTGAAAGGTGACCATCTGTCGGTGACATTTTCTGTCCGCCCCGCTTCTGGCAAAGGAGTTTATTTATTTATTTCACGTCGTGAGGCATTCCATCATACAATGGCTATTCATAGCCTCGAGTCAAGAAGGTACAGTCGGTGCAGGTGCAATAGGTGGGTACATAAAAACACACATGCATGCATACGAGTGAGTGAACGGCGTCAGATATAATATAAAATAACGTCAGCGAGTCTGATCAGCCGTCATTCTGACTCCTCAGAAGCCACTCACGCAGCTCTTTCTTAAAAAGAGGGTGCTGCATATCACGCATCGCTGGTGGGAGTCTATTGAACGCTGTCACGTGAGAGTATAAAAACCTCCGCCTCCCAGACTCTGATAAAATCCGGATCCGAGTTATATGAGCGACTGTGTGGGGTGGGGTAGACTGCTACAGCCCCACGGTGCGGTGGCCACCATGCAGATGAGAGTTATCTCAGGCTGTCGCCGCTTGGAAGGGACCAGGAACTGCGCAGCTGCGGTTGTGACCACAGAAGTGGTCCTACCGTCGACACCCCCCCCCCCCCGAAGCACATCCCTTCGTGTCGGAGCCTGTCGGTGGCAACTAGGTCGGCCTCGGTCTATTTCCGTGGCTATTGCGCATGTATGGCCGGTGGTCGCTGGTTATCGGTCATAGTTACACCTGGCTCTGATGGCCCGACAGACACTGCGTCCGCTAAGGGCTTGTCGATGTCTGATATCAGGGACAATGACTGGCCCAGGCAGGAGATATCGTTGGTAGGCGGAGTGGAGCGATGTGCACCAAACTCACTCGTTTCTGTGTCAGCTTACCATTAGCGTCATGCTAAAATTCAACATTGCAATGTTGATTCCTGTCCGTCTCCCTGTCTGTCTGACCGTCTCCCGTTCGTCTGTCTGTCGTCTCCCCGTCTGTCTGTCCGTCTCCCCGTCTATGTAATCGTCTCCCCGTCTACCTGACCGTCTCCCCGCTGCCGGGCAGCTTTTTGTCGCGGTATTGAGCGGCTCGCCGGGCTGTGAATGGCAGAGTCGTGTTTTTACCTCTCGCAGCCCGCCGCCGACGCAGGGCGCTAGCTGTAGCCGCTCGCAATGCATGATGAAGAAACACCAAGGTCCCTCTCTGTATACATTTACTGCTTGGGGAGTTTTTGGACGTCTGGTCATCAGCGGGCCTTCCAGACTGCAGACACCCCAGAGCGGGGGGAGGGGTGAGGAGACAGACAGGTATCGCTGCCGCTGCTTACCCCTTGTGACGTCAGACCAATGAGTCACCGGCGGCGCGGCGGCCGGCGGCCGGCATCGGCGCGCGCTGGGGCAGTGGGCGGCGAGCGAGGCTGTGGAGAGGGGCGAACGCGACCGCGCCGAGATTCGTGCCGTGGCGGTGTGAGGATGTGTTGGTCGGAGGATGTGATGTGATGTGCGAGTTAGGCGGTGGAGTTTGGAAATACGGCGGCCGTCGGACCTGAGTCGGGTGTCGTCTCGTAGATATCGTCAGTGCGAGGTGAGATGATAAGGGACGGTTTGATGAGCTGGGGTGAGGTGAGGTGAGGTTCGTTTGGGTGAGATGACATGGGATGTGATAAGATGAAGAGAGACGTGCGTAGTGCTGGAGTTTTGTGTTTGGTGATGAGCTGAGGTGGTTTGTCCCCTGTAAGTTGCAGTCTCTGTTTGCATTATAGACTGATGGCAATGCCGAGCATACCGCTACTTAGTACCCAACTACCCAATGCTATCAGAATAGCGGCTTTGTATGACGGCAGCCCTGAGTGTCCTAAGCCTCGATATTGGAGGTGAGTTAGTTTGTCCCCTATAAGTTGCAATATATGCTTGAACTGGAGACGGTTGGCAATGCTGAACGTACCGCTACGTACAACACCCAAATCCCAATGCTATCAGAACAGCGACTCTGTGTGGCAGCAGTCCATAGCGTCCAAAGCACCGATATTTGTTGCGTCATCTTATCCTGCTCGGGCTGCTGATAACAGCCTAGACCTTTAGCTGAAGGTTCGGGTGGGCTCCTTTATCAATACATTTGATGTGAGCCCAAGTCAAAGGCGTTTTCGATTTGTCTCCATAGCTCTTACCTTTGTGCTATTGTGTGTGGATTCACTGACCAGTTAACCTGGCCCGACCTGATATGCACTGGCCTGTGTGCCTCGGTCACAAACTGTATCAACTATCATTTGACCCGACCTGTATGTTTCAAAAGCTGACTGTATTTGACCTGTGTGCCCTACGGCGCTTTCTGTACCGTCTGACCTGACCCGACCCGTGCCCCCTCAGGCGCCGGGAGCGGCCGGCCGCCATGGAGGACCGCCAGAGGCGCGCCCTGCAGAGGGCCCACTCCAAACTGGTCAAGGACCTCCGGGTGGACGCAGTCACCGACCACCTGCACTCCAGGGGAGTCCTTAATGAAGATCACCTGGAAATCATCTCCTCAAAGGTAATCACTGTCCTCACGGCGCTCTGGCATCTGCGAGAACTGATATATGTGTAGTTGTGTACCGATAAAGGCCTCTTAAAGGAAAAGGGCCACCTTCGTGAAATATGAAGATAGGTATCGTTGTTTTTCATTTTGACATTATTATTTTTCATTTTCTTTTTAAAACTGGTGCCAGAAGTGCACAATTCGCGAAAAAGTATTTAAAACTATTTAACATATTGGTACTATTTAACATATTGGTACTATGTTGATACTCTCTACGGCACCTACTGTATGATGGCATAGCGATGACGTCACACTCAAGCCAATCAGCGTTCAGAAGACAGACTCGTCGGATTGTGTCAGATAAGCTGATTGGTTAAAGCTGAGCTGGTTGGAGCTGATTGGTAAAAAACCAAAGCCTCGCCGCGGGTGGCTGTATTGTCGGATAAGAACGCATTCCTGGGATAAGGACGCATTCCTGGCGTATTTTCTTTTAAAATTGCCGATAATGACGATGATGATGATGACGCAACAAACGGGCTAATGTGGTGCCGATTTTTAAGAAAGGTGACAGGAAAGACCCGGCCAATTACCGCCCTGTGTCACTTTTGTCAATTTGCTCCAAAATTCTCGAGCGAGTAGTGTGTGACCAGTTACTTGTGCACGTGGCCCCTGTGTTGTCTCCGGCTCAGCACGGGTTCCTGGCCGGACGCTCCTGTGAGACCAACCTGACCTGCCTCGTCAAGCAGTTGTGGGACGCTATCGCCTCGGGCCATCAGACTGATGTTATTTACACCGATTACTCCTCTGCCTTTACCAGCGTTAACCATTCTCTTCTCCTGCACAAACTTCGTCACTCCTATCATCTTTCCGGTTCTGCCCTGCGGTGGTTCGAGTCTTACCTCTGTGGGAGAGAGCAGCGAGTGGTGGTCAACGGGAAGACGTCTGGCTGGGCCCGTGTTGGGTCGGGCGTGCCGGAAGGCAGCATATGTGGGCCGATCTTGTTTATTTTATTCTGCAACGATTTACCATCTTACCTGAACTCGTCGTGCCTCATGTATGCTGATGACATGAAACTGCTCCGCCCGGTTCGCACGCTTGATGACGCTGTCGCCCTTCAAAACGATATACATAAATTCTGTACATGGTCAACTACTTGGAAGCTGCAATTGAATCCCACAAAATGTAAACAGATTACATTCACTCTCCGCACTAAACCAGTCCATTTCGACTACTCCATCCATGGGATCACCTTAGATCGTGTATCTGTGATGCGCGATCTGGGTGTGCTCATGGACTCAAAATTAACTTTTGGGCCTCACGTCGACGGCGTCGTCGGGAGTGCGAACCGGGCGCTTGGCGTGTACTTGCGCTCGCTGCAGACCTCTCGTGCTGCGAGGGGGAGACGGTTTCGACCTGAGCCTCTTATCACTGCTTTTAATGCCCACGTTCGCTCTGTGATAGAATTCGGTAGCATAGTATGGGCTGGGGCCTCAAAAACACATATACAGCGTCTGGAACGTATCCAGCATAAGATGCTCATCTGGCTGGCAACTCATTCCACACGGCCCTCTCAGTCTCTCGATTACCATCAGCTTCTGTCTCATTTTGGTGTGAGTTGTATTCGGGCAAGGTTGGTGCAGCGCGATCTCACTTTTCTTCATTCGGTTTTCTCTGGTCGCATTAGGTCCACCGATATTGTTGGGATGTTTGGATTGTGTGTTCCATGTAGGCGGACTCGAGGACGGGCGATACTGCACGAACCCACCGCAAGGGTGGAAACGATAAGGGCCGGAATGTTTTGTCGCTTACCGAGACAAGTGAACGGCATGTACGAACATGTGGCATCTGTGGACCTATTCGCCAGTCGAGGAACTTTTATGAAGTCTCTTAGAGCCTTCTTAATCTCTCTGACATGACTATACGTACCTATATTTGACAACCCATGAGCACATGTATTTATAGGTTTTAGTATCGGACTGCGTCTGTAAATGGGTGTCATACCTGTGGGCGTTCAAATAAATACATACATACATAACTACGAATGGAGGCCGAAATCGGCCGTAAGGAGGTAGACAGCCAGGTTTTCGGACACGGGCTACAAGATGGCTATCTCAGTTTCAATCCCCATGTTAAAGGTGGCCCTTTTCCTTTAATGACTCAGTTGATGGTATCCCCCTAATCATCAGGCTTAACCCCCGAGTTGCTGGGGGGGGGGGGGGTTAAACACCCCCACTTTTTTCGCCGGCCAAAAACGGCGCAAATTTTGGGTACCTGTAGGGAATTGATTGAAGTTTATTGTGACGAAAGTTTCAAAGAAATCGGTCGGATTTTTTTAAGATATCGAGGTTTTAGTGACGTCATGATTTCTGAGTTTTCGACCAAAAACGGCATATGTTCAAACAATCATAAAATCACAAAAAAAGACATACAGATATGCCGTAAACGTCATTACACTGCCAATACCATGGACAATCAAATGGCTATCTTGGATTATTGCTTATCGTTCCGCATTTTCCAAAATCTTGAACTGAATCTTGGCAATTTCTCGTGACTACTTCACGACCATGATACCTACATGCATTTCTTAAATTGAACTTTTTAAGCCAAACACGTACACATATGATAAAATGAATGTCACCATCGTATTCTACGCCCCAAATTACCCATAAAACATGTGTCACAGGCTGCGAATTTCAGTTTTGATTTTCGGGGATATGTGCCTACCCGGCTGACCTGACCTTGACCCTGACCTATGCTTGACTGACCCCTACATGGAGCTGACACTCTTGTAGGCCTTATATGATGGATTGTGCACCGTTTTGACAGAGTTTATGACGAGAGGCGCCCGTTGCGAATTCCTGAAGTCCATGCTACTGAAAGCCCGATTTCAGGTGTTTGACCTGACCTTGACCCGACCTGTGACCTCAAAATTCAACTTTGAAGTACTCATCTGAAGCGTCTCGTCACGTTCTTTCGTTTGCCGCCTCGTGCGTTTCGCTGCGCCTATTGGTTCTCGAGTTATCGGCTGGGGGCGTTTAACGCCCCCCCCCCCCAGCAAACGGTGGGTGGCGAAATACCCCAGCAACTGCCGGGTTAAATCATGAAGTTTCGCAGAGGAGTGAAAGTCGTTTTATTTGAATTTTTGTCAAACTGTTTATTGAAAATATCAAAAGCCGAGTAGTATATCCTACTAGCTGGTGACTTGAAAATTATTTATCAACAACGCTTTAGAGTATCTTTCAAAGGGGCCTAATATGAACGAAGTCGCGGCCAGCACCACATCAACTGGTATTCCTTCGGTTCAAAAGTGTCTGAGACAAAATTTGCTACCCCTGTTCCCCTACCATTGACCGTTGTTTTTTCGCCCGCCAGCCGACTCGGAAGGAGCGAGTGACTGAGTTGCTGAAGCTGCTGCCCCAGCGCGGTCCCGATGCGTTCCCGGCACTGGTGGAGGCGCTGCGACGCAACTACCGCTGGCTCGCCGACGAGCTGGAGGAGTACGTCCACGAGCTGAACGACTCTAAATCAGAGGCTGCGCAGGCAGCTCTGGAGGAGCGTCTGCGCGCCGGCGCCGTGCCCAGCCTGCCGGCCCCGCACATCACACGCAAACAGTGCGTCGCTGAAATCCGACAGCATCTGAAGGAGCTCAAGGAGAATCATTTCCTCGGGGTGCACGGTATGCCCGGCATCGGCAAGTCCGTCTGCATGAACGAGGCACTAAGAGACACCGAGCTGCTGCCCGACCGCTTCCCGGGCGGCGTGTACTGGATCAGCGTCGGCGACGTCGACCACGAGGCGCTGCTGAACAAGCTGCAGGCGCTGTGCGAGCGTCTGACGGAGGATGGCTCCACTGCCGCCCAGCTGCCGCCCACCATTGAGGTGGCGCGCGAGCGGCTGCGCAAGCTGCTCAACCGGCTGGAGCGGCCGTGCCTGTTCGTGCTGGACGATGTGTGGAAGGCCGAGGTGCTGGCGGTGTTCGAGCTGGGCGCGTGCGTGGCGGTGACGACGCGGGACGCCGCTGTCCTCGACCGCATGGACGGCCGCTCGGTGACAGTCGCGGTGAGTGCCCCCGACCCCCTGCGTCCAGCAGGCTCAGACGCTGGTTGGACGGTAGGCGGAGTTGGGAGTGGGAGGTCAGTTATCGGATCTGTCATCGGCGTTATCCACCATTTGACTTGCTGCTGGTTCCGTAAATAGTTTTGCTGGTAGTTACTCCCCCCATCACGTGAACGCCTGCTCAGAAACTTGTGTACTCGATTTATTTATCATTTTCATGTAACGAGCATCTGCTTCTCTTGTACCCTTGTTTCAAAGACAGCCATCATCACTCTTGTGTTGCTGTTTTATAGAAAACAAACTACCAAACGGAAGGCAATCCGCTCTGTTCACCTCTGTTCGCTCAAGGCACCGAGGGGCGGACCCGACCGAACCCAGTTGACCCTACCCTTCTGATCTAACCTAATCCGACCTCCGGCCACAGCTGAAGGGCGGCTTCAGCGAGAGTGAATCGCGCGAGCTGCTGGCTACCCGTCTGGGCATGCCTCCCGACCAGTTGCCTCCAGAGGCGGAGGTCATCCACCGGCGCTGCCTGGGCTCGCCGATGGTGATCGCCCTCCTCAGTAGCTTCCTGGCTGACAAGACGGGCCGCCGCGAGTCCAGAAACCGCTGGCACAAATGCTTGGAGATTCTGGAGCAGGGCAAACATGAGTGAGTAGTGAATCGGACTGCGGTGGGGTACACCGTTCCATGCTTCTATCCTCAGGATACTGAAATCCTTCTCCTACACACCGCCACCCCCCTCCGGGCTGGACAGGCAACTTTATCTCATGCGGGCTGCTCCCTTGGAGCGGCACCGCTGCTCCCGAGGGAGCGCACCCCGTAGCCGGGTGCAGTGAGTGCCTTGGGGCTGGGTGGCCTGTCTTCGGACGGGCTCAGCCCCGGCGACTCACTAGGGTGCCTGCCCAGACCAATGTCTCCCCCTATATCCTATCATCCTCCCGGCTCTGAAATGGTCTTACTGGACCGAAAGGGCCTAACCCAACAAAACAAACAAACAAACAAACAAAGCGGTGGGGTATGTCTCAGGTAATGTCGGTAATGCATTTAAAGGTAGTGTGCCACCTTTGAAATATTTCCCATTTTATTTTTCCTAGGATAAGAAGCTTCTGTTTTTACCTAATATCGCAAAAAAATCAAAAACGGGCCTGGAATAGTGCCTTTTTCGCCTAAAAGTTAATCGGTTTTTCGATATGTATAACAACTGTGGTGGGCTGACGTGCAAACAGGCGTCGGCAACAATCGCGAATGCGGCGCACATGTGACAATAAGCAAAGGTCATTATAGAGTTACGACGTACGGGAATGAGTTATCAGCTGTCTAATCGTAGACAACACAATGTCAAGCCTTAACCCTCGCCGGACCTATTGATAGATAGATTGATAGTTTATTAAGACCCTCCATTGACATGGTTTTTATGGTGTCTACGTCAATGACAAATAAACAAACATTGTAAAAACACTTAGGCAAGACAGGTGCTACATAAAAAAATGACACACTGGCATAAAACAGTGAATATAAAACACATGTGAGAACCGTGCCTATACCTACATGACAAGTTACAGCTGACTACCTGTGGCTGTTCCACGCACTCGCCGCACGATAAAGAAAACTTCGGCGGGCAAACTCGGTGCGGACCCGGGGCAGCCGCAGCCGGCCGTCGGACACGGCGCGGGTGCTGCGGGATGACACATCGGCTCGCAGTGCGAACTGTTGGCGCAGAAGTTCGGGAGTGATAGATGAGTCGATGATGCGAGTGACGTTTGCGAGGTCACGCTCGGCGATCAACTCGTCTACGGTGGGCCACCCCAGTTCCCGTAGCGCCGCAGTCACGTGATCGCGCCGTCTAAGACCGCTAACAATACGCGCACCAAAGTTAATAGCTTTCTGGATGCGACGCTTCTGTGTGACCGTACAGCTTCCCCACACACTTAAACAGTAACGTATGTGGGGAAATACTAGAGCTTCGATCAGCAGCTGTCTTGTGCATCTCGGTAGCTTATGCCGGATCCTGGCCAGGCACACCAGTACGCAAAAGCACTTACGAACAACACCCGTGATGTGTTCATCCCAAATCAGGTGAGAATCGATGACGACCCCCAGAACCCTGACACTGTGGTTTGGTTTGAGCTCATCGTTTCCAAAATGAATCGAGAATGTTGAGTCAAGATTTTGACGTCTAGATTTCATTATTATCAGTTCAGTTTTAGCTGGGTTAATTTTCAGACGATTTTGGGTGAACCATCTCAGTCCAACTGAGAGAGAAGTTTCGATGCGGTCCTTCAAGTTTTGCAAGTTTGTATAATAGTCAGTGTCAAGGAACTGGGTGTCGTCAGCGTACATGACTAATTTACCATGTGGAATGTGCTGAGGTAAATCATTGGTGAAAATCAAAAACAAAATCGGCCCCAAAATCGAACCCTGGATCACTCCATGAGACACGTTCATAGCAATTGATCCACCGCTCACACACTGTGTGCGTCCTCTCAGCCAGGCCGAGAACCATCCGGAGTCAATCCCGTACCAACCGAGTTTGTCCAGGAGACGGCCATGCTCAACGCTGTCAAAGGCCTTCGACGTATCAGCGGTGACAAGTGACGTCACGCGGCCGCTATCGATGTTCGTCACCGCGTACGTAACAGCATCGAGCAGGGCCGCCTCCGTGGACAAACCCGGCCGGAACCCGTACTGCTGGGGACACAGGATGTGGTGCTCGCTTAAATACGTCACTAGCTGGGAGCAAACAACTCTTTCACAATTTCTTTCACAACTCTTTCACTCTTTCAATATTGGTTTTCTACATACGCGCCGGCCGAGGGGGGGGGGGGCGGGTACGACCCCCCCCTCGCCGTTTCGCCCCTGGTGGAGCTAGCGCGTCGCGGAAAAAACGAGCGTGTGCGCCGTTACGAGACGCAGAGATTGGTACCCGATTTTAAGGTCCTAGGTCAACCGGTGACCTCTGAGGTCAGGTCAAGTGCCCCAAGGTACGGTTCAGTTTTTGGTGAATAACTTCGCAAAAAACGGCCGCAGAGCGCCGATTTTGGCAGCATCGTGTTCGTCTCGCTCAGGCGCGTCGAATGATATACTTTTTGTCCGGGTCAGGTCAACTTGGGGTGTTGACCTCAGGTCAAGGTCAGGTCAGCACCCCCAGGTCACGAAGTTGGTCGAAAGAGGTCATGTCGCATATCATTCGATTCGGCAGGTCTTCCTGAGTCCATTGGTGGCTTTCCCGACTCGCTAGCTCAATTTGATCAAGAGTTATTGACGAAAAACTAATATGACCTTGATGACGTCATAAATGACGTCACCCAAGGTCAACATTGCAAAAGTGACGCATCTAACCTTGCAAGGAGTGCATAAAATCACGATTCTGTGTGCTTGAGATAGTTGGAGATCGTTACCGGCGCCAGAATAGCAGTTTTCATTTTTCCCCATTGACTTATAATGGTGAGGTCACGAAAATGACCTGACCTCATATGACCTTTAGAAAAAATCCGAGATATACAAGTTGTGGGACTCATAATGGATACTAGATCCTGCAAGTTTCATTTCCCTGTGACATCTCCTCTGGCAGTGAGGGCGTTGCGAAGTTGCGACATCTGAAGACCGTGCAGAGGTTCACTTATGACGTCATAGGTCAGTGACCTGACCTGACCCAAAAATGCGGTTGGTGTCAAAAGATGCGGCTTGGATCAAAGGTCAGGTATGCCAAGTTTCAGCTCTCTATCGCCAGCGTGTTCGGAGCTATCGCGAAAAAACCCTATGGGGGGGGGGCGGCACCCGCCCCCCCCCTCGGCCGGCGAGGGTTAAACTGTAAGCCTGTATTGGTATTGTTTCTTTTATTTGGCTGTCGAACATTATTTATGGTTTGAAATATGATTTTATGTAAAATAATTGATATGAAAAAGCCGTCTCTTAAGTTATGACCCCATTTCACCACACGCAAGTGGCAGAAATGACAATGATCAGCTGACGCATTTTTCTTGGCCGAAGTCAGAGCGCGCGGCCCGACGCACCACCACCGCACCACAAAGTATGAGCAGAAGCCGCGCCCAAAGCCAGGGCCCCGGTAACGTGAGGTAGCCGAGTCGGGGCAGCGTGCGCTGACCCAAGCCGGGGCCGCAGCTTTGGGCGCGGTCTACCGCATCCCCGCGGGCAGCCCCGGGCTATCACATGACACCGGGAGGACGCGCGGCCCCGGCTTGGGTCAGCGCACGCTGCCCCGACTCGGCTACCTCACGTTACCGGGGCGTTGGCTTTGGGCGCGGTCTACCGCGCCACCTAACAGGCGTGTTCGAAACCGCAGGAGATGATGATGAACGGGTTTATCGAAACTTGATTGGATGAGCATATCGGTAATAGCGATTTCAGTGTGTGCATTTATTGTTCATAGTGGTGTGAAATGTGGTTGGGGTACGACCGACAACCCGTCGGGGCGAATTTCGCACTGGGGTACTCAAAATTTGAAGAATTTAAGACGTTTCCATGAGTTTTGAAGGTATGGATAAGTTCTAAAAATCCGGTTCTCCTTATCTGGGCCATTAACTCCATACGGTCCAGGAAAGCTGGCACACTACCTTTAAGCAGTGTCACAAAATTGCATTTTGGCTTCAGTGTCAGATGTGAAATTCCTTTCCAAAAAGGGGAATGATGGGAGTTGAAAATGGCTGATTAGATGGCCCCAGAAGAGTGCAATAAAATGAATAGCATTTACTTCTATACAGGCGGTAAAATGAACGATGTAAAGTGGCCATCCACGCAATTTTTATGGGGAGCTCTTAAAAATTGGCGAGTGTAAAACGATTTTCATTTGGATGTTGTTTCCCCACCCAGATCAATAATTTTGGGTCACTGCATTTAAGTGGGCTTTGGTTAACGGCTAATTTTGGCATTTCAAGCAGTTTGAGGGGGGCGGGTAGTAAGTAGCAGAAGTTGGCGGAACGCAGGCGGCGCTGGCTTACGCTGAGATTCGACAATTACGCAATTTAGGCAGCAGGAACGGATATTTTAAAGGCACATCGTGCTCCTACTGCTGCCATCTGGTGTCCTGTTTGTTTGTTTGTTTGTTTGTTTGTTTGTTTGTTTGTTTGTTTGTTTGTTTGTTTTTTAACGTTTATTTTAATTTCTACAGGAAGCTGAAAACTAACATCATGGAAGCGATCGATCTCACGGTGAAAACCATGGATGAGCAGCACGACAAGCTGTTCGGTTCGCTGACCATTTTCGGAGCCGACATCGGCATACCTTGCGAGGTGAGACCCGCCAGACCCATCAGCTAGGCGCTACCTAACGTACCGATATAGCGCATCACGGTAGCTCGCTATCGTTTGCCGATTGAGGATATCAACATTTTTCGCGTAACTTCAAAAATATGTTAGGTACGAGTACCTTTTGGTGATGCAGTGAGTGTGTCTAATTTCTTTCCGTGGAAGCTGGCAGCGCAGGCCGCGGACGCGTCTGCTCCGTGTCGGCTAGGCACTGACCCTGGGTGACTCCCCAGGTTCTCGGCACCTACTGGGACATGTCCGCCGACGACGTGGAGGATGCCATGAACGATCTGGTCAACAAGTCTCTCGTCCAGGACATGGTCGACTCCAATACCACGCTATACAGCATGCACGACCTCATATTTGACTATCTGGCGCACAAATACACATCTGAGCAGGTAAGCCTAGGTAACTTTCAGAGAATGACATGCCTCGCTTGCGAGGGTCATAGCTGTCTTTTTTGTCATTTTGTCACAGCTGATGTGTATTTTGATTACCGTATACATAGCTAGTCAAGACTATTGCAGTTCGTTTGATGTTAACCTTTTGGTGCTCTTTTCCGCAGGAGCGCAACAAAGCTTTTTTGTGACTCAAGCTCCTTTTTTCGCCTCACATTGTTCATTTTCTTTCTCTCTATATTCTTCCCGCAAATTTGCGCGCGCTGAACATGGCGCGAGACCTCACAGATCTGTGTCAATTACCTCACGTTCCGTTCCTCGCCCGGCCTGCAGAAGGCGGAGATGCACGGGAAGCTGGTCGAGCGCTACCTGGTCGAGTACGGCAGCGACCTGAGCCGGCTGCCCGACGACGACTACACGCTGTGGTTTATCGGACAGCACGTGCACCGCTCGGGACAGCACCACCTGTTCCCGAGATTCTACTTCGACCTGGGCTTTGTGGGCAACAAGCTGCGGGTGACGGGACCGAGCGACCTGCTCAGTGACTTCAGGAAGTACGGAGAGTTCCTCGACAGGGTAAGCCGACGGCCGGCGCCGTGGTAACGTTTCCAGGGCGTCGATGTATATGTAGACTTAGAGGTCTTTATTTATGACAAATGCGTGACATTTGACAATCAGATCATTTGATCTTGCCTTATGGCGTCTGATACAGCTCTCGCTTCGTAGGGGCTCTGACTACAAAGGACAATGCATGCCCAGACAATCTGCTCCCAATTAACTGCTAGAATTAGCGCTCTCATTGCCGCCTTGTCGACGTTTATCATCTCGCTGCTTGTTTTAGAGTAGTCAGCTGACACAGACGCTAGCTGACGCCGCCCTGTTCCATCCCTCCCCTAGGACTCAAATGACAACATCACCCGCCGCATCGACTTTGAGAACTTTGTGCGCACGGCTGGCCACCGCGCGGCGGGTCTGTCCAAGGCAGACGACCCGGCGGCGGCGGCCGTGCAGCTGGCGCTCTGCCAACCGGACAGCTCAGAGGTTTACAAGGCCGCAGAGAGGATCTGCGCCGAGTCCAGCGATCAGCTCTTCTTCCGCTGGAGGTGAGGGTGGAGAGGAATAAGGCGAAGAGAAGGTGTATAGGAAAGGGATGAATGAATGCAAAGGGGGAGGGATGATGCAAAATGAAAGATAGTTATTTCCATCCGGTTTTTAACCACCAGTATTCACTCTTGGTCGTCGTTTTACTATTTCCTGGCTCCGCGCACCACAGGAACAAGGAAGCGATGCGTTGGTCGAACGTGCTGCTGACCAAGCTGTTCTCGGGCTCCGTGTGGGACGTGGTGTTCACCTACGAGGAGAACCTGGTGCTGGCCGCCTACGGAGACGGGCATATCAAGGTGAGCGGGCCGCCCGCGCGGACGGACGGCTGCGGAGGTCGGTGAGATGGCGAGATTTGATACCGGCCTATGAAAGACCCGCGTGTGGCTGAGCTGCAATTAAGTCCGTTGAGTTGTGACAAACGCAGCGTTTGAGGCTGAGTGTTGGCTTCTTGTTGATTGTTTTAGTGCTCCAACCAGGTTTAGTTGACTGGCTTAATATCGACTGGTCTGAATATCTGACCTGGACGCTGCACTGTCGAAGATGTCGAGTTTGAGCGGCGGCTAGTCGTGGGAACATGTACCCACTGCCTGAATCTCAGTCACCTCTCCGACGAAGCCATGTGTCTCCATGCCGTCTTGTTCACTGTGACCTGTTTCTACCCCTCGTTCAATATCACCACGCTCACCCCCCCCCCCCCTTCTGCGCCACAGCTGTGGAACATGCTGACGGGCGACGAGCACCGTTCGTTTCACGGCCACGCGGACCGCGTCAACCAGCTCACGGTCAGTCCCAGCGGCGACCGGTTCGTCTCGGCCTCCGAGGACGGCTCGCTGAAGATCTGGGACCTGGACGCGGCCATTATGGAGGCGCTCGGTACTGACGACGACCAGCTCACGGTGCATGACGGTATGCGGTGGTGGAGCTGTGCACTAACAGCATGGCACGGGTGACGGGACGGTGGGGTGGGAAAAGTGGAACAGGTTGTGGGAGGGTGGAGGGTGGCGGGGGCGCTAACGGCATGATACGGGCCAGGGCCAGGTGATGGGATGATGGGGTGGGAGTCTGAGAAGTGGGACAAGTTGTGGGAGGGTGGGGGGTGCTAACAGCATGGCACGGGGCGGAGCCAGGTGACGGGACGGTGGGGTGTGATGGGTTAGGTAGGACCAGTAGCAGATGGGGGGGGGGGCAACAGCACGGGACAGAGGTGACTGGAAGGTGGGGCGGGGCGGGGGAGGGTGGCCGGGGCTGTGTGAGTGGAGGTGGTACGGTACGGTTGTGTTTGAGGGGGAGAGGTTGGTGATTGAGCAGGTGGCTTGGATGTGACGGTGCTGCTATTATCTAACTTACCATGGTGGTTCACTTTCACTTACTAGCGTAAGGACCAAATTAGTGAAAGAAAGGGCTGAGTTATTATGGTGATATCCCGAACGCGCACAGAGTAAGGTACTAAATGTGTGTACATCCTAATTTGTGTAAAGGACACCATTTTGTTGCACTAACCACTGTGTGTATCACAGCTGTTGTTTTTCATAACCACGCTTATCACTGCTTTCCACTTATCTGCTGTATATCAGTGCATGAATGCATGTCAGCGATTGGAGCTTATCTCGCCAAGCCTCTGCCTAAGCCTTGATAAACACCCAGCCTATATTGATTCATTGTCGCGGCAGCACTGATTGCGTTATCGTGCTGAATGTGATTGCGGTAGCCTCTTACTCCTGATTGGCTCCATCTGAGCCGAGGGCTTGGGTAATTGTATGCATTTGCGACTCCTTCGGTCCCCTCGCTTGGCACCTCTAGTATCCGCTCACGTCATGTTTCTATCTTACAATGGTCCCTGCCTCCCACCCCTGATTGGGACACCGGTCTATGCAGACCTATGTCAGACTGTACCGCCCTACGCCGTTCTGTTACTATCAGCTAGCCTTTATGTGGCGTAGTCAGTATGATATGTTTCAGCGTCAGCAGCTGCCGCCAAAACAGACATCGATATTTAATACCGGTGCTATTGTTGCCCATTTTACGCCACGGCATTGTCGGTACGCCGCACGGTGTGCCCTCTTCGCCTGCCATCCTCTCATTACGCCCTCACCACTTCTCACCCATCCTCTTACTCAGTCCCCCCGTCTCACCTAACCACCCTCTCACTTCTTTACCACCACAGCGTCGAGCGGTCAGCGGACGCCCTCGCCGCGGATCCGCCACTCGTCCAGCTCGGCGTTCTTTCCGGAGTCTCGGCGACCGAGCGGCCTGCCGCGTCTAGACGACAGTGTGCAGACGCTGGAGGGGCACGGCACGGCCGTAGCCTGCGTGGACTGGTCACCAGATGGACATTATCTGATCTCCGGCGCTGATAACGGTGGCGTGAAGGTGGGTGATAGGGGGGAGGGGGCGGAGGGAAAGTGGTGACTTGTGTTTGCGTTAACTTGTGTCTGGCGTGGGCTAGTCCGGTTTGGTGAATTGGTATGGCGTCTGGTTGTCAAAGCTGATGTTTTTACACTACTGTGGCCAAATGTTACACAAAGATAGCCGTCGTAGCTGGGCGTTACCTACCACGACCGCTGCAGGCCTCGTAGACCCTGACCTCGCCCCATCTGCCTGCCAGGTGTGGGACTGTTTCGGCGAGGAGGTGCACAGCCATCCGACCGCTCACGAGAAGAACGTCACCTGCTGCTCGTTCTCACCCGACAGCAGCTACTTCGCCACCGGGTCGGCTGACGGCAAGGTGCGACTGTGGTGTACCGAGAAGGGCGACCAGCTGTACACCTTCAGCCAGCACAACCTCCGAGTCATCTCCCTCAGTCTGAGCAAAGGTGGGTGATCCCACGGCCGGAGGTATCAGGGGAGAAGTGGCCGGGGAAATGTGGCGAGATGTGGAGTCTGTCTGCGTGGGTGATGTGAAGTACTCGATACTGTGATCGCTGTATTTGTTTTTGTAACTGGGGCAGGTGATGTCGCTGACCACACCACAGTGCCGTGCTGTGCAGACGTCCGTACAGTGACAGTTGGGCTCGACTCGAGTGTAGGATGGTCGCTGTATAGCCTAGCGTGGTCTGGTGGTCTGTTCGGCTCTCTAATGCTTCTCTAAAGGCGATTTAAGTCTGACGCTGTTTTGGTCGGCCGTCTAAAGTCTGAAGCTGTTGTGGCTGGTCTGGTCGGCTATCTAAAGTCTGTCGCTGGTCTGGTTGGCCGTGTAAGGTCTGACGCACATCTGGCTGGCTGTCTTACCAACTGTCTAAACTCTAAAGTCGATAAATATACCTCTAAAAGACGCCGGTCTGGCCGGAGGTCATTGTCTCACGGCCGTCTGGAGTCTCGCCGATGACCACTGTAGTCCGGGCGCCCAAAAACTGGAGTTGGCAGTAGGATTGGCGACTTGAGTGTAGGATTGGCAGTGTCTGGAGTCTGACACTGGTCCGTTTGGCCCCGCGCTGTGTCTAGGAGTCATCCCCAGCGCTCTGTTCTCGTGGCACGCGACCGCCTCGGACGGGCCACTGCGCCGGGAAGTCTGTCGCCAGGTCTCGGATGGGCTCAGAGCCGACACAGGTCTCTCACTCTCACTCGTACTAACAGAGCGCCCCGGGCGGGTGGCGGCGCCTCGCACCCGCAACGGCGCGGCTTCGCTTCTGCATGGCTCGACATGGGGCGCGGTGCTGGCGGCGCTACGTCATTCCATTGGGGTCTAAAGCTTCCGCTGCGGATAAATTCACCATTCTTGGTTGCATTATTTTGATTTGGTTATGGTTTTATGGCACTTCTGGCGAGCTGCTGCACCCAAGGCTGTGGCGTGTGTTGCGTTTGACTGTCTATTTGAGTGGTTTATGATGCACTGAAATTTCCTTTCGTTTTGTGTGCCTTCTTTTTCGTTGAAACAGCATGAAAAGTTAATTAGAAAGTGATACTCCTTTTTTGGCAGCAAGACATGTGGTAGGCTCATGGTGTCATTCACGGAGGCAAAAATGATATATCTTTTTAAATGATCCCATAGGTATTCAGAAAATGTGTTATGTAACTGGAGAAAGCATACCTATTGTTGGGATCCATTTGTTGATAGAGGCGTGCTACGTTCTTCATATTTCACTTGTGAAATTGGCAAAGTTCGTTGCAGCTGTCTCCATACTTCAATATCTTGCATTTTCTTTGTCTGGTTCATTATCCCCTTTGTGTCTCCTTCTTTTTCTGCGCTGTTTTGTCTAGCTCCTTTTTTTGTCTGTTCTGTGTATTTACATTGCACATATTTGACATTGTTCTGTCCCAGTGGTGTGTCATTTTGCGCCTGTTTTCGGTGGCTGGTCTGTTGTCTGAAGAAAATCTGGTTCGTCATCTTCTGTGTCGTTTTGAATTTCAATGCATGCTGGGATCATCGATGGTGTAACCATTATCGTACAATAGGATATTTTCCATTTAAGACCGGGCTAAGTCATAACTTATCCATAGGCTAGTCTCTTAAATGGTGCGTGTGTGTCTACAATTGTGTTAAAAGAATATTGCAAAACAATTACTCATGATAAAGTTAGAAGTGACTAAAATGAAAGCAATCATTATTAGCTGGTTTTCGCAGTTTCTCGGTAAATAATGCCCTTGCCTCTTATCAACAAATAAAGATAACTACTAACCACAGTAATTAGAACCTCTGGCGATTTGTGACCGTCGCTGCGTCCCTCTCCGCAGACAACAACTCGATCGTGTCTGTGGCCGACAAGGAGATCTTCCTCTGGGTGTGGAACACGGACCGCCGGCCCAGCCGCGACTTCATCCCCGTCCAGATGGGCCGCTCGGCGGTCGACCACGACCTCTACCTGTGCTCGCGGCTCAACGAAGACCAGCGCCTGCTGGTGGTGGGCACGTCGTCCAACATGTACGAGACCTGGGACCTGCAGGAGAAGCGTGTCATCTCCACGCAGCGCGGCTTCGCAGGGTAAGTGGCCCGAATGGTGAATGAGGGCGTGAGGGGTAGAAACCGGGCAGGATTGGAGAAGGGTTGGGAAGCAGAGAGAAGATGGATGGACTGGGACTGCGGATAAGGAGATACAGCAGGGCGAAAAGAGGGCGAGTTGAAAGACATGAGAGCAACGGTCGGATGGATGGTCGAGCCTTGAATTCGCCTGGCAGGATGCTGTTTAGTTTTGTGTTTGAGATTATTAGTGCGAATACGGTATATGAATAACACAAACACCCAGCTTCTGTATGAGAATTACATCGGTTTCGACACTGATGGCATAACACTCTCGCCAAACCTCGAATTCCAACCTTGCTCGAGTGATCAGTCACATGACCCGTTCCGTTCCCGACAGGCTACTGACCTGTCTCTTTCCTCTCCCGACAGGTCAGTCACCTCTCTGGTGTTCTCCCGTGACGGGAAGCAGCTGCTGGCCGGTGCCGACGACACCGTCACGACGTGCTCCCTGACCGCCACACCCAAGGTGGAGGACAGCCTGCAGCCGCTCTTCTCAGCCCGCTTCGTGTCGGCTGACCCCCAGAGCCTCGTCGTGGCGGCCATCACGTCGAACAACGGCGTTCAGGTACGTCCGCTGCGCCGAGCCGAGCTGCGCCGCTCGACCGGAGCCGTCAGCATGCAGCGAGAACGCATGCCAGCTAACCGGGCGGGCGCTGAGCGACGGGCGGGATGGGTGCCGCTGTGCCTGAGGCGCGCGCTGCTGGTAGGCTGACCCACTAACGGCAGGCGGAGGGAGGTGGCCGCTCATCAGCTGCTGCGTGCCGGACGGTTATGGAAGAGGTTGGCGGTGAGGGTTATAAATGGGTGGTGGATGGACAGACAGACGCTGGAATGGGGGAAGGGGTCTAAGGTTTGGTGAGCCTACCGCTGGCTTCGGGTCTTTTGCTCTTGATATATGCAACAATTGTACAGAGAACATTGTAATAATTTCATCGTATGTTTTGTTTGGATGACTGAGCGTTTCTGGGGCTTTCTGTGACGCTTTTGGACATAGTACGATACCATCATAAGCCTCGGCTGGACCTGACGAAGAGACGAGGCACGATTCCAGGCTGTCTTATTCATTCTACCGACCTCTTTGGTGGTGCTAGGCGCAAAATGACCTTTTAGTCGGCGAGCCCTAAGGCCCCAATGCCCAATAAACACACAAGACCTCCGTGGTGCGTTAACACCGGAGTCAATTCAGCGTAGTGCGCGCTGTTTTGTGTGGAGCTACGCGCAGGGTTCCGTCACTCCTAGATAAATTCCGAAAGAGCGGGCTTATTTCGATGGGTTTTGTGTGGAGACCAACTGGCTTGAGGAAAATGCTCACAATGTGAGCTCTATTTGCTGTAAGATGTTGAGGGAGGGGATTTTCAGGGCTGGAAGACGCGACGTGACTTTTCCACCGGGGATAACTCTGATCATACCCGCCTACCTCCGACCCGCGCCGGAGAGATCCTGTTGTGATGTGTTACGCGCGTGGCGGACATAGGGAGGGGCTTGCATGGGCGCTTGTGTGTGTGTGTGCTTGGAGAGTGCTGTTTTCGTGAACGGTGTGAGTCTGACCTTGTCTTGAGGCTTTGCCAATTTTGAAATAGCGCTAGATCACTGATAGGGCGCTTTTGCCACGCGATTATGCTACCTGCCTTATGCCTTGCATAATTATACTGATGTCGCATTTAAATATACAAATTTTATATTTTGATCTAAAATAAATTAAATGAAAGACGAACAGGGTTTTCATTGTTTAAAAATACAAATATTTTGCAACAAATTTGTATATCCATAAATCGCTTTATAGTGCTTTCATTATCCTTCATGTATCTTTTAAGTATCTTGGTTATGTTTTTGCCATTAGTTCTGCGTAAGTTTTGCCGTTTTGTTATTTGTATAATTGGAATGTGTTTTTTTCGGAAGTTTTGTCTGCCTTATGCCTATCTCATAAAGGCACAGCAATTGGCTGCTTACCAAAATTATTAGACGATGCATCAATGTCATCTATTAGTGGTCAGCTGTGTCAATTTGGCGTTCTGATTTTCGCTATTTTACAGCTGGAGCTTTCCCCATTGTTGCAAATCCATACATTGCCAATTCATTCTACTTACAAATTACAGTAGGTGCTCTAATCCAGTGCTTAATACTTAATCACGTAAGTTGATGAAATTGAACCATTGTCTTGCAAGCTCTTAGCTCAGTGTAGTGGCGTCGGTCCTCAATCGGTTGTTGAACCTTGAACGGCCGAATCCCACTCGATGGCAATCTCCCATCCCATGATCTGGCGTACGGCCCGATACCGTCACCAGCGCTGTTAAGTGCGTCGTGTCTCCTCTCGTGCACTTTCCGCCATCGGGACATCATGTGGCCCTGTTTTGTGTACTCCGCTCAGCGCGTGGGTGCCGTCTTATGACTGGTCCTGGCCTCCCCGCGCCGTGAGCTCAGTCATTCCCCCTTACGTCAAAAGTAGGCCGTCCCTCTCCGCTCTACATGTCAAAAGTACGGCGTCCCTTCACGCTCCCTATCCTCACGGCGTCCCTCTCGGCTCTGTTCACGTGCGGCGTCCCTCCATGCGCTGTGTGTATAAGTGCGGCGTCCCCCCCCCCCCCCGCTCTCTGTACGCCTTTGTGTCGTCTGCGCCGCCGATTGCCACACGCTGTCCGTCCGTGCACCACTGCCAACTGTGCTCCCCGCCGCCGCCCCGCGAGTCCGTCCGAAACGCAGAGGGATTCCATCAATAAGCCAGCCGCTCCTCTTTCTCTTGCTATTAATCCATTTCCTTTGAAATTTGCTGTGCCCTTCCTTTGTTTTTCTTTCTGTCTGTCTCTTTCTTCCTTACTTCTTCTTTCTCCTTTCGTCTTTCTGAACGGCACGTTTTGTTCGATCCATGAAACCTCCAGGTTCCCTTCAGGCTGGACTCGTTATGTTAAGATTTCTTCAATGCACCTCTCCCCTTGCCACCTTTCTCCTGGTCACCCCGTCCCCTCCGTGTCTCTCCGTCCATCCACTGACCCCCGTCTCTGCCGGCGGCGGCGGCTCTCCGTGCTGGCCGTCTCTGTGGCTGGGGATGACGCCGGACCCGCTCTGTCTCTCGGCTGTTACAGGAGCGGCGCGACGGCGAGCTCACGGTACGTGCCGCCGGACTCCGCCGGATCCCGCGCGGTGCTGTAGCTCGGAAACTGCCTGTGCTCTCTGTCTCTACCCTCTCCGGACCCGCGCACACAGACACTCTCTAGCTAGCCGGTGGACCGGCCGACTCGCCGGCCCGTCCGCCTCTGCCTCTCTCTCTCTCCTCTGTGTCGCGTGGGACAGGTCTGGCGGGCTCTCACGCCGACTGGGTGTGCCGCCGCTAGTCGTGGGTGGTGCTCAGTGGCCCCATCGAGCCGCCGCCACCGCCGCCGGTGACTAGGAGGGTGCACCCCTTTCACAGGGGACAGACCGAACACAACTCGTAGCCAGGACTGTGCACGTGTGCTATGCTGTGGCGTGCGCTCCGCTCAAACGCTGCTCCCGCCTGCACGACACTTAATCAGGCTTCTTTAGCAGTTTCGGCTCACTCGTATCGCATGAAACAGCTGCTGGCCTCGCACTAAAGTATCTAAGTGTGCTTTGATAGTGTACTGTTGGGCAGTTTGGTGTGTGTGACAATTGTTTTTATTTGTTTTTATGTTTATGTTTTCTATCAAATTACATCAAATTTGAGCTAAACTTGGGCGTCACTAAACTGCATATAAATCACTTATCTGTTTGGCATATCGGCGCTTTTGTCTGGGCAACTTGAGTCGGCTTTTCCGCTTACGTCGCTTTAATGACGGGGCGTTTGTTGGATTTCAGAGTGGTGTTCGCCGTTTACTCCCAGCTCGGCGTTTCCGGCGGGGTCGGACACTGCTCGGCCGACTCCCCCTCCCCCCGCTTCGGTCACGTGCACGGCTGACCCTCGGTTGTGTCCCGTTTCAGGTGCTCCGGGGTCTCGAGGGTAAAGTGACTAAAACCACCAAACCCGTGGGAGAGAAGATAATCATCACCAAGATCAACAAGACAGGGACGTTGGTACGTGCGGTCGGGGAGAAACACAAATGCCGGGTATTTTGAAATACAATTAATCGTAAATGAAAAAAAAAACTTTGTTGAATGTGTCACTATCTTTGTTTACTGTAGAAACCACATCTGAACATCCGAATTCGGAAGTATCGTTGTTCGCCTTGTCCAGCGGTGTTATCCCCTATGCCTGGCTATAACAATGCTGTAACCGAGCTGTCTGCTGTAATTGTGTGACCCCCCGTGATGCGAACAAAGCCAGTGACCATGCTGTGGTCTTCCCGTGTTCCGTTCGTGGCCCTCCCGTGCTCCGTCCCGTGACCTTCCCTTGCTCCGTTGTAACCAGACCGCTGCCGCGTCCCCCTGTCCGCAGGTGGCGTTTGGCTGCGAGGACGGCTCTGTGGGTGTGTATCACCTGCCACCGGCCGGGTCGGCAACTCAGGAGGTGCCCGAGCCAAACATCCTCGGCAAACACAACGACCGAGTCATATCGCTCAAGTTCGGTCCGAATGATACCGTGGTCAGCGGTTCCGAAGACAAGACCATGAAGGTAGGCGGCAGGTCAACCGGTTGGCGAGGTTTCTGCGTGAGGGATGGTGACTGAAGCTGCACGGCCTGCTGTTGCTCGAGTTACGGTTGATTGAAGCGTTTGATCGTGACTGTGCGCTCGCCAGAATATGTCGAGCAATTCTGGGCCTGCGTAGGATTAGTATTAGTGGACATGCGTACAGGCTGCATGTGAATGTGTTTCACTTTATACTCATTAACGACTGCAGCCTTTTTGTGGTACGGCATCGTGCAGCTGTAGCCAAGACATCATTTTCTGTTTCATTTTTCTATCTTGATTTCCTGCCCCTTCCCTCAGACCGCATCCCCCAGTGTTTTAAATTCCCTGTCCCTCGTTCTGCCAGGTGTGGTGGCCCGATAACCGCAGCGTGGCGTGCGGCGGAAACGGTGGCGCCGTCACCCAGGTGGGACTGTACGAGGCGCGCGACCACGGCCTGATCGCGGTCTCCTGCTCCCGAGACGGCACGCTCAAGGTGGGTTGGTGGGTGACGGCGGGATGGGTGGGACGAACTGACAGACAGATGGACTGGAGTGTTGTAAGTAGTAATGAGTATGTGTGAACCAAGATTACTTTACTAATAAATAAAGTGTGCGAATGGTCAGAATGTGGTCGGTGGTACCAATAGGCGCACTGCTTCTACTAGAGATGCTGACGGCATTTGCGTTTTTAGAGCCTCGTGGGATGGAGAGAACCTGCGTTGGTGATTTCGGTGATAACCATTAACCATTGGTGACTGCTGTATATTAGGCCTGCTGCAGTTTTGCTAGTCATTCACTTTGATTTTCCGCTTGCATGTTGTATGGGCGTAGCAAACTGACAGATGCATGCCCTGGCTTATTTTGTTCGATTTTTTCGTATGTTCTAATCTGCATGCTGTCATTTGATGCACTAACTTATGTTTAACCACCTCACCACCTTCGCGGCTGATTTTTTTTTTTAATAATTGGTTCGTACACGCCCGAAACCGTTTCACCCAACTGCTCCAGGGCTGGCGCGCTCCTGTGCATGTGCGCCTGCCGCGCCTGCCCTCCATCAGCACGGCCGATTTGTCGGAGAGTTACCGCACGGTGACACGCGTGAGTTGGTGCTGGTGGTGGTGACAGTGGTAGTGATAATTGGTTACGTCCGTCGGCCAGTTAACTATCGTCCATTGGGGATTATGTGTGTATCATGCTTTCTGCTTGTGCTTGAGCTGTCATGGTTCTTCAGTTTTGCATTGGAGGCAGCAGTGTCACCCTTCCCTGCACAGGGAAATCAGCGAAAGCACGATGCTATAACGGGAGCTCTGCTGAAATAGTTGAACCGCTGGTGTTATAGTTTGGCTTGGACTACTGACATTGCTGTCTGTCCGTCATCGGCTGTCGTCGTGTAGGCGCGCGTCTGAGCTGGACAGGTTATGTGTCTGTCAGCGGCCGTCACCGTGGAGAAATGAGCTGTTGTGGTTAGTGTTGGGAGTGACCGGCCGTGCTTGTTTTGGTTGGTGATGTCCTGTTGGTCTCTAGCTGTTTGTTGGCGATGTTCCGCCGGTCTTGGGCTGTTGGTTTGTGGATGCCCAGATGGTCCATGGTTGTGCTGTTCGCCGGCGAATATATCGTTTAGGGCAACGTCCGTGGATGCAGCTGTGCTTGTCACCGTCGATCGCTCTTTATAGTGGCCTGCTCTCGGTCTGCTTGTGTGCTAATCTGTCAAATAACTATTCTCTTCATTGACGGAATATATTTTACTCTATCATACTACGTATCAACATCATGTCTGTGTATTATTTAGCTTATCTGGCCACCCCATCTTTGTTTGCAACTTTTATTGTTATTCATTATAAGCTAACTTTGACATCATAAACACAATCATAAACGCACATAAACATTTTCCGATCCATCTGACCTCCCCACCCTTCGCCCCCAGGTGTACCGGGCCGACACCGGCAAACCGATAACAGCGCACCTGACCCACGCCGGGTCAACGGTCACCTGCTACCGCATTGTGCGCGCCAACCTGCCCGACGAGAACGGGGCCACCAGCGCGGCGACGGCGGCGGCGCGCGACAAGTCGCCCTGTCCCGACGACCTGGTCGTGGTCACTGCCGGTCAGTGGGAGGGAGCGGAGGGATGGGACGGAGGGTGAGAAAGGGTATTTGTTAGAGGGTGAATGGGGAAGCGGGATAAAGCTGGATGGTGGTTAACGCCGGTCATTCAGGGATGAATTGGGTAAAGCGGCCGGTTTATGGTGACGGACTCTTATAAAAATAAGCATGATGGGGTGGGAAAGGCAAGCATGTCGGTTTTATAGACACACGTCATGTTCATAAGTATCATTGCTTAACAGTGACCTGGCCTGAGTGGTAGACCTGACTCATATCCATCCACGCAGCTTTCCCTACATTTTCCCCTCCAGTGACCTCTCCCCTGCTCTCAGTTCTGACCCCCCCCCCCCCCCCTCCGCAGGTGTGGACGGCACAGTGAAGATGTGCCGCCTTTGTACCGGCGATCTGATCAAGTCGTTCAGTCTGGAGGAGTTCGGTCCGGTGCGCACATTCCGTCTGTCTGCCGATAACCACCTGCTCGTCACCGGGCACGACAACGGCAGTGTGGTGGTGGGTAGAGGGCGGGAGAGGAGAGAGGGAGGGAGCAGGGGGCAGATCACTGGACACAAGATGAGTGTGGTGAGGTGGTAGATGAAAGGAGAAGGAAGATATGTTTTAACTAACCTGTTGGTGGACTCTTCCTTGCGAATGACATTTTTTAGAACGGAAGCTTTCGGGTATATCTAAGTAGGTATCCGGGAAGTGTTTAAAACAGTCGAACTGATTCCTGAGATAAATATTTAAGCCATCAGACCCTCCCCAATCTTCAGCTCAGTCCGTGCTGTGACCTGCCCTGCACCTGACCCCTGATCACCCCTGTGTTTCCATCAGGTGAGCCGGACTGACCATCAGTGTAAGCCGCTGCGTCTTCAGTTCCATCACTCGATGGTGAACGACCTGGCCATCCACCCGAATGGACGGGAGATTATCTCACTCAGCGACAGCCTTGCCTGGTGGAGACTGGACGTAGACGGTACGTATAGACTAGAAGTGCAAACCACGGGCCTTCAGAGCCGGGAGCGTCGCGTTGTGGCGGTTGTTACTGGAGGTGCAAGATCCAGGTACACAGAGCTGGGATCCGGAAGGATCAAGGAAGGATGAACAGGGTGGCTGATCCTTCACTAAGCACTTGTCGTGCTGTGCCTGTTTTTGCAACGCTGCTTTCTCGTATGTAGCATACGTCGTCCTTTGAATTTCGCTCACAAACCCCTTCCCCTCTCCCCCTCCGCAGAGAACCCGATGTCGCCCCGCGGCCGGACCCGCGCCGGCCAGTCGCCGCTGGTGGTGCCACCCTCGCCGCGGCTAACGCTACCGGCCAAACGCTACTTCAACTACAACCGTCGCACCTCGCTGACGCCCGAGATCCGCGCCACACTGCGCCAGGTGTTCTCGTTCCGTGGCACACTGGCCCGTCGGCTCGTCGTTTCTGATGACTGGACCACTCTGGTCACCATCGACGACGCGGGGGTGCTCTATGTGCTCCAGGTCATGTGACGCACCGGGGAGCCTAGGACGCCGCCCGGGCTGCGTGCAGAGGCGCCCGGGTGTTAGTGCGAAAGACGCACGCTAGATGCTAGCAGCGGCAGCAGGGTGTTAGTGCGAGCGTCGCACGCTAGATGGCAGCAGGGACGGCTGGCGGTGCTCAGATCTCGCACGTTGGGGCATTTGTGACGACGGCTGGTGATTCGTTTTGTGATTGCGTCCCTAGTGAGTACTCGGCTGAGATTTGCTCAACTGCCGCTATACCCATGCTGATGATTGACATGAGTTCACTGTATCAGGTTTTCGGCCAGGCTCATTTTACATCGTCAAGAAATGAAGGTTAATTCTATGCAGTTTTCTACCCTACAATGTAATATCAGCTTCCGAACCATATCATCGATATGACAAGTCTGGTGTCGTGGGATTTCTATTTGTCTCTTTTTCTGACGATTGACGAAGATTCGCGCAATGGTACAAGTATCGATCAAGTTCAACCATTGTGCCGCTCCTGGCGAAGTCTTGCCTCGTGATTTCGGGGATTTATTGATCCGTCGATTGGTGATGCTCTTTGGAGCCGAAATTGACGTGCGGGCTCCATAAGTGCGCCAGTGGATTGTCAATGGGTATAGGAACATTTGTAAAATGACAAACCTTGCCATTGCGTGTCCTTTCGTGATTGGTGGCGAGTGCGTCCGACTGGCTTGTTTGTGTGGAGGTGTCCGTTTGTTTTCCCACCACTCAGTGGTTACGCCGAGTGACGCGTGGCGGCGCTGTCAGTCCTGGACTGTGTTCAGGGCTTGTGACGACGCTGCTAGCGTTGGCAGCGCTCTGGTTCGGCGCCACGGGGCGCCATGGATTGGCAGTCAGCGCCGCCGGTTCCAGGGAGTGTGGGTGTGAGTATCGCTAGCGAACGGCGTGGACTAGTGGCTAGGTGTTAACAAAGTGACCCAGCGGCGGTCGTGGAGCCGACACAAGGCGCCGGCCGCCCGTCTTTCCGGCAGAGTGCCTTGTGTGCAATGGTCGGCTAGTCACAGAGGGAGCGGCCGACAGGGACGGAGGTCCCCAGCGCGACTGAGGCGGCTCGCCGCTCCGGCGGACAGTGTGAACGACCGCCCGCGGCCCGCAGTGAGGGGATTCCAGAGTCGCGGCGAGCCCTGTGGTGTTTATTCCAGACCGATCCGGTTGTGCGCCCGGCTGTTCGTTGTGAGACGCTTTATGTGATTTCTGCTGGCGCCTGGCGCGAGCTGATATTTTGGTGGTCCCGTCGGATGGCATGACTCGGGGCAGCGGTCAAGTCTTGGGCCCGCCTGTGAATTGTGGACGCGTGGTCCGTCCGTCTGACCTTGTTTTCTACAATATATGTACTATCTGTCACTCGTTTTTTATTTGGAGTATGACTTGTGGATAGATAATGCAGTGGGGAGTTCGGCATTACAAGTAACCATTTTTATACACCCTCTGGAAGAATGGCGTACCCTGTTATACTCTTTTATGAGCGGAACGCTAGGAAACCAAAGCCCATCAAGATCTGTTTTTGCATTTATGATGACGAGGCGAGCTGTAGATGCTGAAAGGTCGGTCTGTGTAAGGCTAATCATGATTGATATCGGAACAGTGCGATTTCTGCAGAGACCTGTAGTACTTGCCCTCAGACTGGCGGCCCAGTCAGGAGGACAGATAGGGACGTTGAGGCATGTCAGTGAACGAGAATCCGCTCATCGTCTACCGTTTCCATTTATTTTCTTCGTGGATGAAATGGCCGGATGCAGACGTTTGTAAACAGACCGTCATGGTATCTGTTACTGCGGGTTTAGGGGCTAGGACGTCAGCAAAATATTGTAGCTCCCAAAGGAAAACAAGCCAGACGGGAGCGCTCGTTGGACGGGTCTTTGGAAAACGCCGCCGGCTGTCTCCGATTGACACAGCTTTGGTCTGGCAAATCTCACGGGATATTGGTGCGAAAATATCCCAGCGACGCTTCGCACGTCTGAGGTGGCACTTCTCCGACTCAGGAGACGGGGCTGCTAATGCGTGCATCTGCTTATTGTCTCCACAAACGGGCCACTCAGACGGTGTCAAAACAAACGGTTACGCTGCTGGCACGATGAGAGGCAGTCTTGCGTAATTATCAGTATTCAGAACACCCCATTGTTTGGGTTGCGATATTTGCGAACGGTTGAGCTCAGGAGAGACCCAGTTGGAACAAACGCCGATCGTCCAGTCTAAATTTGCAACATTTTTATGCAATTCGAGTCGTCCCCGGCTTAGGTTCGCAATGTTTGAAAGTGCCTTCGTGACAGGTGAAGGACATGTTATTCAACGTTTATTTGCGCCGGATCTGATCGACTTTTGTTGAGTTTCGCAGCTTCAACGGAAGTTATTCTTTCAGCCCAATAAAACATGAAGAAATATTTGACGTCTGTGAACCAAAGCATTGGAAAAGACGAGGATAGAAAAGGGATAACGACTTAATCAATAATCAAAACACCTCTTAATATCGACTCTTTCGCCCCTAGATAAATATCTAAATATACCTATCGACACCTTTGAAGGTGCGCATGGAAAACGCATGGCATGCGCCAAAAGGCCCAAGCACGTCTAGCTATACATACAGTATCTTCTTACATAGGATATAGGAACCAATGTCGTGCCTGAATTTGGTGTGCTATCTGACAAGGCAAACCTCGTATACTGGCATCTGTCTCATTCATTCACTTGGTGAATGAACCGGGAGCAGCTCGCTCTGCTGGTGTAGCCGCTGCACGTCTCCTCTGCACGTCCGCTGGGTGTGGTACTGTGGTGTGTCAGGGAGGGGGCGGGGTCTCCGCGGCCGACCTCCCCGCCAGGTGCGGGGCGGGCCGGCCGCGCTGCGCCGCTCGCCCCCTCTCCAGTCGGTGTCGGTCGCCGGGGTAACGCCAGTCGGACTCGGCCGCCCGCCGCCGCCGAGCGCACCTCTCCTTCGCCGCGCCGCCTCCGTCGACGGCGCCTCCCGGAGCAGCCATTCGTCCGTTCAACATCCGCGCTGACCTGATCCGCGTCCCGACGGAGAGCAACAGCCCCAGCGGCGGCATGGCTGGGGGCGAGAGAGTGCCGCCGCCGCCAGCACAGGCCGCCACCAGGCCGGCCGAGACGCCTCCCAGCACCGGAAAACCCGCTGAGGTGTCCGCTCAGGGAGCGGCGAAATCGGGCGGCAAATCGACAGAGCAGTCGGCACAGGGCTCCGGCAAGTCCGGTAAGGGCAGTGAACCGCCAGCGCCGGCCTCCGGGAAGACGAGCGGCAAGTCCGAGCAGCCGACGCAGGGATCCGGCAAGTCCGGTAAGGGCAGTGAACAGACCTCGCACGGCTCGGGAAAGTCAACTGGAAAGTCCGGCGACCACCCTTCACAAGGCTCTGGCAAGCCCAATGGCAAGACCACCGAGTCAGCCAACAGCTCGGGAAAATCGGGCAGCAAGTCGCTGGACCAGTCGGGTCCACCGAACTCCAGCAAGTCCAACTCCAAGTCCTCTGAACCTAGCTCCGGCAAAGCAAACGGTGGCAAGGCCGGGGACCAGCCGTCTCCGAAGCCGCCCGACAAGGCGTCGGCGAGCTCGGGCGACTCGAAGCGGCTCTCCTCGGACCGCCCTCCGGAGAGCCCGGGCCGCAGTCCGCGCCGCACCAAGAAGAGCCCGACACGCGGCAGAGACGCCGTCTCACTCGACACCGGTGACGAGCGGAAAAACGGTAAAAAGGCGCGCAAAGTGAGCGCTGTCAAAGGTTCCTCGGCAGACAGCGAACCACCGCCGGCGGCCGCGCCGGCCAGCGCGGGGTCCGGGGAACAGCAGGCTGTGGCCGGCCCGGAAGAGGACGAGGGGGTGCAGAAAGTGCGCGCCCTGGGCCGCCGTACCCTGGCGCTCTGTCAGAGGTCAGACTGGGTGGCCGTCGAGCAGAGTCTGAAGAGCGTCGAGCGGGCCGCGCAGGAGGCCAACATCGACAACCCGCTGGCCGACATCGCTGATGAGGTGAGTCGGACGGTCCGGGAGGTCCGGACGGCCCGGGCGTTCCGGGAAGTCCGAGCGGTCCCAGAGGTCGGAGAGGTCCGGACTCCCGGACTCCGGACGGTCCGGATGGGGGGGGGGGGGGGTGGTAATAGACGGGGTTCTGGTGCCGGGGATGGAGAGATAGACAGGCACAGATACTGAAACTTAGTTAAGTCACACCTTAGTCAGGCGCTTCACACCTCTCTTGGCGCTTTAAACGGTCCAGTAAGCAAAAACACTGCTCTAATAGATTTAGTAATAACAATTAAATGAATTATTTCATGTTCAGAAAATAAAATGCCACAATGCCGAACTAGCTTATTTGATATATGTAAATCATCTTTAGGTGCATTTAATAGACCCAATCTGTCGAAAATCACAAGACGTTAGGTATAGATAGACCTAATTATTCCAGAACTAGCCAATACAGCACTATCTGGCTGTTCGCAGTTCATAGCTCAAACTTTGTTCAAATATTTGTTAAAAAGAATGCCGTTGTCAGCCTATCTGCCATAAGTAAGCACTGGCAAGACCTGCTTCATTTTTATTTTATATCTGATGCGCACGGAGCTGTCAACTATTGTGGCGCAAATTACGCCCCTCGAAGCACGTATCGGACAGGCAGTGCGACAATTTTCAAACTCAGTTTATGACAAAATAGGAACATTTTACATGCAAACTTTATTCATTAATATATTCGAAATAATGTTTTTAATAAAGACTGGGTTTTAGTTATTTATGATAAATGAAATTTAAGTTTCTGGATGGTCATGATATTTTATTTTGTGAACATCAAGCGTTATTCGCCGTTTTACTTCGAGAGAATAAAAAGATGTCCTCAAAACTTGCACCATACCGGGTGTCCCAAAAGTAAGGTCATCATTTGTTTTGGCCACACTGTCAAAAATACGCGATGGATAGATATAAATAGGACATCATATGAAAGAGCATTTTATAAAATTTTATTCTGACATACATATGAGTCAATACATTGGCTCGTAGCCCCACATTTGCTGCTTTTCTACATGGCTACCATTTCGGGCCGCGTGCATGAATAGACTACGTTTGACTTCCTCCACTATTCTGGAGCGATTCTCTGGTGAGATGCCGCCTATGTTTGCTCGAAGGGATCATCCGTTAGTTCTTCCCGGCTCGTTGGGTTGTCCTAAAAGACAATCTTTCTGTTGTGTATCCAGAGAATAAAAATATGAAGGTGTAACGTCAGGTGACCGCGGAGGCCATTCAATGGCGTTGCCCTGACTGAAAATTACGGGATCTCACATCCACTCTCGGAGACAATGCATGATCTTCAGGACGGTGCAAGCATAGTCTCCATCCTGCTGAAACCACTGCTGGCTGATGGTGTCGGCACAGCTGCGTTGCGACGAGCGGAAGAACCAGTGGGAGGACTCTCGGCCACCTCTCTTGATTTATTGTCACCCGATTCCCGCTGTCGTCCTCAGGACCTCGAAGCACAGGTGGCTAAGTATACATGCCCTGTGCGTACATTATACCTTTTTTCTGACGTTTTACCGGTTGAGGCGAAACTATGCATGAGTTCAGAGATAGGGCGAGCTGATAGGGTCTGCTTAGGGCCGAAAACTGGGCGGTATTTACCCTTTGTTTTAATGACGGACCCTCTCTAAGAGTTGAATTTCGACCTTCTCAGTTTTATGCCTACTGCTCGGTGTAGTTATGATCAAAAATGGTTTAAGCATGCAAGAAAATAATTTTATGGATGTACCTTGCACGTGTTAAAATTGGAAGTGATTCGGACTCTTACTTCTCGAGATATTTAAGTTTTAAATCATGACCTTACTTTTGGGACACCCGGTACACTGGGCCGTGGGCGTCCAGTGCTGATCAGGTATGTACAGTCCTAACAGAGCGCGCGTGGGTGATGGGTGCCGAGCCGCCCTGCTCCCTGCCCGTGAACTGGGGGGTTGTATCACGGCAGTGACCTCGCGTCGGCGGCGTCCTGGGGTCGTTTGAGCCGGCCGGCCGACACAACAGCCCTCTCTGGGCGGTGTACACACGGACTGGGGCCGAATCAGCGCCCCTAACGGCCCCGTCGCAGGCGACGAGCCCACACGGCTCGCGCGATGGAATCCGAGACAGACCTAGCAGAACTACCGACGTATCGGGAACAGTGCTACCTATGTGTGACATCCGTTCCTTGCGCTTGCGTAAACGCTGTTGCGCAAAAGGGCTTTCATATGCAGGTTTGCTGATAAATCAGATGTGAGTTAATTCTTATCTTTTATTCACAGTTGTAAATGGAGAGTGGCTTAACTGGCTTATGAATATGTGTTATTAGGCACGTGTAAGCAATTTATAGTTGCAAAATGCAGCACTTTCGGGTGCTTCTACTCTCGGTGAAAGCGTTTGCAACACTTTTGGTAAGCTGAAGCACATTCCTTCCGACTTTTGTGCTCCTTGACCGTGCAAATCAAGATTACGTCGGGACGGACATGGTAATCATTCAACCATGATAATGAATATTTTCAGCTTATAACATAGCTGTAAATGCTTCGGAACACATCACCAGACTGTAAGGCCGTAATGATTGACTTAAAACGCTATCGTATGCGGTCACTGGCTCGCTGTCGGTCGCCAGTAGCCCCTTTACCGCTCCGTCACCCTCCCGTAAAGCGGCGGCTACCGCACGGGCTGGCCCGAATCTGATCCGCTTATAGCGCGGCCGACATGCTACTGTTTGCTGTTCGGGGCAGTGCATGTGCCGAGCCTGTGCCAGCAGACTGGGTAATACCTGACACTGGACCAGCGGCATGGAATGTCAGCGCCCAGGGGCTTAGATGACTGGGGTCGGGGCGGGTCGGGCAGGGGGTCGGGGCGGGTCGGGCAGGGGGTCGGGGTCATGACCTACGGCTAAATGATCCGTTCCTCGGCTGCGTCATAGTAATGCCGGTTGTCGGCAAGCATCGAGTCTTAAATTGAGACTATGCGTAGTCAGATGGCCTCTCTGGTTTTCTTCAGCTGCCTTGGAATGGCAGGTCGTTAGGGATCGGTCGGCTTTGGCCTTTGGCAAGGCGCCGGCTTGTTGCCAAAAAGCCAAGTAAAAACTAAGTGGTCCGTGCCTGCCAACGGAGCGACGGTGTTACTGCACCAGCGAACGAGATGACGTCCGATGGCAGATGACTGGCAGGCGACTGGTAACGTGCGTGGTGTGGTCACTATTTTGGTGACTGGTGTAAGACGAGTGACTTGTGACATGACTGGCAGGGGTTGATGTGACATTCGATGAATGATTGACGAATTGAGCAGATAAAAGACATTAAACTGGATGGAGCTTAGGTGATTCACTAGCCAATACGACAGCTGTTTCTGCTCTGTGAGCCGGAACAGCCGTTTGACTGTTACGTCACCTCAGTGAATTTGCGATGGCCTAATTGTTCCGTCCGTTTTTCCGGAGGTCAGTACCTAATAATGAACGCGAGCTGCCGTTGAAGTAACATCAGTTGCGCACTGGACCATGGCATGCGTCGTATTACACATCCACGAAATTCCGACACTTGTTATTACCTCATAGTTTATTCGAGCCTTTCTAGTTAAAATTGTCATGTTTTAGGGACTAGAGTGAGACTTTTCATCAAGCAACTGCGTTTATAGACAGAATATAGACGTGAATTACTCAAGGCAGTTCTGCGTTGCAATTATGTACATGTCCGAAGAAACCATGGGGTAAAAAGAGAAAACATTCAGTTAAAATTGTATTTTTTATGTCTGTCTGTCTGTCTGTCTGTCTGTCTGTCTGTCTGTCTGTCTGTCTGTCTGTCTGCTCTCTCTCTCTCTCTCTCTCTCTCTCTCTCTCTCTCTCTCTCTCTCTCTCTCTCTCTCTCCCTCTCCCTCTCTCTCTCTCTCTCTCTCTCTCTCTCTCTCTCTCACACACTCTCTCTCGTCTCTTTCTGACCTAGATATTCGGTACATTTACGTGACACCGATCGTAAATAGGCAATATACTTGCGACATTTCCGTGATGCCCTCTTAACGTCTCCGTCTCTTTTTTATTTCCTCCAATATCAATGTCATTAGACCAGCACGGCCGTTGCCACTCTGCTCCGCTTTTTCTCTTTCCTCTCACGCAGTAAGTCTGAATGTGCACGAAACACACAGACATATACACAGCTCCGTTAAAGGGACCATCCCACCTTAACATTAGTTTTGAGTTGAGATAGCCAAGTTTGCGGCCAGGCTCAGAAACCACCATTTATCCTGGTCGCAACCCCCGCAGCTTTATGGTGTTCAAGAAATTTCTTCCCTTTACTTGCAGGGTGGGACCAGCTTAGTCCCTATCTCTTAACCATTAGCGGTTTCTTGATGACGTCAGCAGTCATTTCAACGCCCGCCATTCCTTGAACCCGAGTTTTGCTGACCTTGAGCTCCCTTTTTTATCAACGTGAAATCCAAGCGTGAAATCCGTCGTCGGCGCTGAGAAAGCCTATTGCTTTTCATTTTAATTTGAATATTAGAAGATACCCACCACTGGAACTTGGACTGATATTATACCAAGGCCGAAGATGATCAAGCTGCCTGCTATATCTGGAGCTTGGTGTTCAACTTCAACATGGAATAAAAAACAAAATATCAAAGCAAACTGGATATGGTACTCCAAGTTAAAGTCCAAAGAAATTTTGAAGAGCTGACAATTGACATTAATTCTTTTCCTGCAAGGTTTCCATATGGAGATCACACCATGAAGAAATATTTTGATGTTAACAGTTGAAAGGGGATTGATCATGCAGTTTTGACGAAAGACGCTGCTGACTGTCTTTGGAAAAGGATGTCGGCATGAGGTGCAATTGTGCTTGTGAAGTGGTTATAACTGGTCTTATCACAGTATTAAATTAAATGTGCCATTGCAGCCAAGTGTGTTATCATGTAAGGTAAAATCAAAACCACAATGTTGGTTTTACGAGCATTGAGAAGGCTGGTAGGTAACACCTGCCTGTGCTCGTAAATCA